CTTGGTTATGATACATTCGCGGTGTGTGTGTGTCTAAGACTGGTTAATAAAGTAGTTGGTGGTTTTCAATTATTTCTCTCCTCTTCCCTTTTTCTCTCTTTTTATTTCATTCACTCTTCTCCCCTTCCGTTCCTTATTTCTCCTTAATAATCAATAATCAAGTTTCTTTAAAATTTGTTTTTTTTAAACTAAAATGACAAATATTGAGGAAAAAAACTCATACATCCATTCTTTTCTTGTAAGATGATACTTTATATACATTTTGCCTTGATCTTATTCACTTTGATAGGATGAGAAACCAAAGGACGGGTTTGCTATTCCACATGCTCGTTTATTATCAGCTTTAAAGTTGTACGATGACTTTGCAGACTATTTTAGGGATCGGTAATGATAGAATAATCATGGTAGAACAATATATTAAAATAGAATTATAGAGCACAAATCGAGGATACATATGCTAAAAGTATTATCAAATTGCAAAAGAAAAATTACATTGCAAACAATTCAGCATTAGGGTAAGAAGGAAATTATCGTCATTTATTGCTTGGAATCAACACCATTCGCTATCATAGAACATTTTTACCGTTGTGGGAAATGCTTCAATTGGAACTCACTCAACTGGCATCAATTCATGGCGAATTTTCAGCTGCACTAACTGAGCAAATTGAACAACCATTAAGAGTAGCAATACCAAATAACTGCGATTATATCAATATTCAAACGGTAATTTGATTTCTTTACATCATACTTTCAGTCAATTAACGAGAAGTAAGATGGATGATCATATGCAAAAAATCGCTCGAGAATATGAAGATCTTCAAAACAAGATCCAAAAACAAAAGAAAAACTCTAAAGGCGAAGCGAAGACTATTGAATACGTAAAGTTACTGGAACGTAAATTAGCAGAATGGAAAAATGAAGCACCTGATTTTTTACAAGTAAGTATAATCATGATATACAAAGCAAAGTCCTCTAAAAACTTGAAATAGAAACATCAAAAAGTAGATGAGTTTACCTGGGAGAATTTAAAAACCACGATCCATCAATTCGAAACTATCCAACAAGCACATGCTTTTAAGATGATTGAAACAACTGGCAACACCATGACAGCTGTAGCGAACTTGCGCGTTGATGACGAGATTACTGCGTATTGCACATCTCATGGCAGTAACTTCAAAGCGATTGTGGATCAAGAGCAAACTCAATCATCTGGTATTGAAAACGTTGTGCCTGAGCCGTCTGTTTCGAACATTAGCTTTAGAAGTTCTGAAGCTGGAAACATCACTCATCATCCTCCATCTGTCAAAAAAGACAAAAAAAAATGTAAGCAATGAAGATGGAACCTAAAAAATAAGATACTGACATTTTGGTAAAAACACAGTTTTCTCCTCTCTTGTTTCTATTAGACGCAAGCCAAAGTCGGATGCTAATCTTCATCAACAGCTCGATCACAATTTGGGCGCATCTGAAAGAAGCAATCGTCAACGTAGTTTTAGTAATTCTGGAAGCTTTGTAGAGTCATCAAGCCTTCATTCTATGAATACACCCAGCACATCTGATCGCCCTGATCCTAATATGGCTAAATCGGCAAGCGTAAACAATATTGGACAACATCTTACTGCACCAAGCTCACCTAATTTATTGAAGCAGCCATCTATTAATAATGCTTCAAGTTTTGTAGGTAGCTCTACTAATGACGGATTATCGCAACCTGTATGTATTTTGTATCCACTATTTTCTTATCGCAGATTCTGATCTATATATGCAGCCTCTTATTTTAATAGATGAGGAAGGTTATTCAATTCCTCCCGATCGAACTACATGGCCGGGTGATGCCAATACGCCTAGTGATTCTTTGATAGAAACAGATGATATGACCTCAGATGGTGGAAGGTAAAGTATTATATCTATTTACTATTTTAAAATCACTAGTAACATAAGATTTTTTTGTTAAGCATACTGAGCAATCCGCGTATCCGAGTCGATATCAAGAATGAGGCTGTTAGCGAAGAGGATGCATCACAATCAGCTGTAGCTCTTTCCCGCATGTCTACTTTATTAAGAGAGGTATTTGCATGGATTATTCTTGAAGCATCAAGGCTCAATAATTATGTAGAAAACCTCCAACTCTGTACCTGTGGCAAGAAGGTTGAGAGGACGGAGAGAGTAAATTTGGAACTTTATTCATTAGTAGAATATTACTAATCGACTTTCATTGCTAGGATACGGGCAACACAATTATATTCAGTTATCGAACAGGACCACATTGTTTCAAAGGTAGACGGTTCTCATGGACCTGCGCCTTCAGATACAGCAATAACTACGCTATCTAAATCGTCCTTGGAACCAGCGCTATCGCTATCACCGAATCCTTTTGAGATTGGCCAGAAAGAAATTATAGAATCACTCAAAGATGAGGAAGTAGTTACAATGGATTCTGTGGAAAATTTACCGATCATCAATGTTTTTATTACAGAAACTGTACATGTCCTTTCCAAAGCAGGAGAAGCTGAGAAATCAGTTGTTTGGGGTGAAATTGGTGTTGAATACAAAGGACCTGCTATCAGTACCGCCCCCGTTTGTTTCCAACTTGATCATCAGCAACCGCTAGACATGATCGAGACAACTGATTACGCACATGTGTTGGATGGTTATACATTGCAAGATAATATCTTCAAGATTAATACACAAATGTATAATGAAAACAAAAGCTCTGACCATCATGTAGCTATATGTATCAAATATCAAACCAAACTGAACTACTTGCCCATCGTCGTAAAACCAATCTGGAAATGCGAAAAAGAAAAGAGTCGATTACTTGTAAAATATCATAACAATGTAGCAGCAGTGCCAATTGAAAATGTCATGTTCGCTACTTCGGTCACAGGAAACGTGCAAAATGCTTTAAGTATCCCAGCGGGCGAGCTTGTTCTTCCTCAGCAGAGAATTAAATGGCATCTTGGAGAAATCTCGGATAATGATGAAGCTGTAATTAAGGCTCAATTCGTCACACTTGAGCAAGCCACGGCTCAACCTATCGCTGTCCGTTTTGAAATCAAAAATCACCTATTGTCTAATGTAAACGTGAAGCATGGTACAGATGCCTTGGTGCTTTGGCCTAAAATTTGTAATACAACCAAGTTTGTAAAAGCTGGCAAATATCTTGCCGATGTATAAGCTCAAGAAAGCACCATACTATAATAAAGTCAAAGATTATTGATAACATATACATCTCAGCAGTTTGTTAGTTAATGCGACTACTAGTTTAGTACGACAATTTTCGATCTTTCGTTGGCCTTCGATTTTTGATAAACGCTTGATGAAAGTATACTATCCAAGGCACATTAAATATAGTAAACAATCCTCATACGATAGCCAGTGAGCACTTCTGAAATCTTTTCTAAATAAGCCCACAAAGCGCAATATTTCATCAATTTTAGTAAACGCAGAATAGATATAAACTAAATATCAATAGGTCGCCAGTAAGTAATTATATCACCACTGGCACTATATATTTTCGAAAGCATTGAAATCAAGTCTTTCAAGCTATTGGCATATCATATTTTTTAATCAACAGCAATATATATTTTAAGGTGTATCTAGCTTAGTAATAATTAAGCCTTTACAATTTCATCATAAAGCATTTGTTATGCAGAAATAAGACTTCTGGTTATGTTAATGTTGCGAAGGATGTAATATTTAATACCTTTGTAATTGATAAAGCTCAAACCTCGCATTTGATTTTCTGTTTTTAACTTTTGTAAAAAACCTTCGAAATCGTTTTTAGGTTTAGATTTGGGTCCCAAGGCAAAAATGCTTTCTAAATTATTAAGACAGGTAAACTTCACTATATTTTCTATTTGTTTCCATACATTTCTTTGTTATTGTCGAGATATTCACTGATGTATCAATTCTAAAACCGGAGGCCACATCAATATAACAGACCATAGGATATACGCTGGCAGAAATCATGTCTTTCGATATAATAGACCTGACAAGATGACATTTGGGTAGATAAAATCTACTATGATCTCTGAACTTTGCTACCATCCTCGCATCACTGTTTCAAATCGAAAAGTATATAAAGCATCTTAGCTTGGTGTATAAACGAGAATAGCTTCTTCTCATTTCTAAATAAATCTGTTTAGGATGTGAAGTTTCTATTATGTGGTTAAGGCATCATATTCTGTGGGATATGTTTGAAAGTTATCTTTGGAGAATCAAGGATGATCAATTTCTACGAATGTGCAATATTTTATGGTTTACTTTCAATGTGTTCAACTCAATTGACTTAATCTTACTTCATTTGTTCTCTCTTTTCCTGTTAATAACCATTAAAAATCTCTCTCTATAGCTCATATAGATGAACTATACCTTAAATAAATGATACTTGTCGGAAAATGGAAATAGTTCTGGTATCTCCAAATACTGCCACTGAATGTTCGTAACACTTGTTTTAGTATAATCCTTTACTCTTTCGAAATGAATTTACTCCATTCTGTCCATACCGTCTTTCTGTCACGTTGTCCACTACTCCAACTATCATTGGAAACACTGAACACTTTCTTTCTTCTCGTGGTGTCCTTTGAAGATTATCGTCTAGCATCAAGCCCTTTCTCAACAAACCCCTCGCCTCTTAACTTTTGCTTTTGAGGAATACGTTTTTCTTTCTCTATCTACAGCGATTACCGTACCCGATCGCACTTTTCACTTCCATTCTCCTGAATTTCTGTTCACCAAATTTTTGCCTGTATTTCTAATTGCGCTTTGCATTTAGCTTTTTACATAAATATAGAAATGATAAAAATAATACCCTGATAATGACTGATCTCGTCAGATTTTTAGGTACACACAGACAATATGTGTATCATATTTGATTATTATAAGGATCATACGAAAACAATATAATAAATATAATCTTTTATCCAAGTCCATTCTAATACGAACGTCGCTGCGACAATACTACATGCACTACAATTGTATATAACGTAAAAATTTATTGCGGGTAAAGCGGATCGAACGCTTGACCTTTAGATCTTCAGTCTAACGCTCTCCCAGCTGAGCTATACCCGCAGGCACTTTTCTTTCTCCTAACCAATTTTTTACCTAATTTGGAACATTCACTTTTTGTAAGAAATTGTATAACACTTCATCCATCCATCTCGATAAAAGCTTCATCATTGCATCCTTCGAGAAAATTAGCTCACCTACTTTGTTGCCTTCAGATTCTCTTTTTTCTGGCTTGAAACGGCCTATTTCGTCTCGATCTCCACCTTTATTTGCGTTTGATCTCGTACAACAAATAAAGTCCAAAAGATCCTCAACAACATTTGGAGATCCCAAGCCCGCTCCTCCTGCCCAAATGAATCTAT